TGGATTGTGGTCTAGCAGAGCCTTCACCAGCTTAAGACCATCCAGACTGTTTCAGGTGTTGTTCCAAGATGGTGGAACCACCTACCAAGCTACAAGAACAGCAGAGTCCCTGTCTGTCTTCATAAACTCTTGAAGACCCCCTTCTTCAAAGAGCATCTCCTATCCTAATCCTAACCCGTACCTATCTCTATCTCACCACTGACTCTGATCAGTGTTTCTCCTCTGTATAGCTTATTGTCATAGTGATGAGAAATGTAATATTGTGTCTACTCTGTAAGTCGCTTTGGATAAAAGCGTCTGCCAAATACATAAACATAAACATAAACAGCAGCCCCCTTTTTCAGACTTGAACACAGCTCAGTTACTCCAGTTACTCTGGATGAGGAGGGAGGGGATGGATCTCCTGAAGCAGAACGAAGCAGAACTGCACCACCAGCAGCCTCCTCATCCTCCTCATCCTCCTTTCTCACACTAAGACACACAAGGGTCTCCGTTTGTTTCTACACGATGCAACAAAACAGAATATGTCGACTCTGAACAGCCAAAAAAACAAAGAAAAACGAACATGCGATGACTCACAGAACAGGATTCAACGTATCTGCACAGTCTGTGTTCACTTTCATTTATTTGTGCGTTTATTTGTGCACTCTGCTTCACATTATGGTTCAAAAACACAGTGACCCCTCTGAGGACTTCACTGAATGAAACAAGAACCAAACTCCTTCCATCTCCATTTTTTTTACAGACATTTCCTCATAAGCTTTACACCATCCAGCTGGTTTGTCCTAACATCCGCAGGGAGATTCAATCCCCAAGAAAATCTTTTTTTTTTTAGCTCCACTGCAGAATCTGCATGAGTTAAAAAGGTGGTTTCAGATCACACACACGGCTTCTTCAGAGCCTATCGGCTCTACGCCGGATCATCTGCATGAAACAGGGTGAGGCAGACACTGTGCACCAAACTGCACAAAATTATCCACAAAAGATGCATGACAAAAAAAAGCTAAATGCAAAAACCACAAAATGATGTAATCTACATACAACATATGTATAAAATAGAATAAAATAACCAGAAAGAGATGCAAAACGATCACAACAAGATGCTAAATTACCAAGTAAAGGATTGCCCAGGATGTCCAACACGAGTTCCAAGACTGACAAACGCCATAAGAGTGACACAAAATGCAAAGAGGAGAGGTTCAAAATAACCGAGAGGAGTTTCAGATATCCAAAATGACAGAAAATTATATGAAAAAGAGCTGAAAAAAGGAAACAGAATGACGAGAATAACACAAAAACATGAAAAACAGTCACAGAAAAACCCTTTAAGACACTAAATGAAAGCAAAACATCCACAAAATGCACAAAATCCATCAGAGGCCCACACTCAACAACACAAAATGCCCAAAACTGAACACAAACCAACCAGATTTGTGGACCCTGCAGGCTCTGCATCCTTCATCTGATCAACCAGAGGTGTGTGTGTGTGTGTGTGTGTGTGTGTGTTGTCATCGGGTCAGAGCATCAACAGCTGGTCACCAGCGGCTCACCTGCAGCTCCTGCTAACCGCCGCCATCACCGGGACCTGAGGGGGCGCCTTTTCTTCGTCCCGCTCCCCGCCGATGAGCTCTCATTCCCGGCCTTCTGCCCGCCGTCTGCCCGCCGGTGACCGTCCGGCTCCCCGCTGCTCCGCCCGGGTCTCCGCCTCCCGCTGCCCGGCCGCTGAGCGCACACTCAGGCCACCAGGCACCCGGACGTCCCCCCGGGGGACCGGAGGGAGGAAGGGCGCCCCCGTGTGGCGAAGGTACGTATAGACAGTTGAATAAATACGATATTCTGCCTGTTTAAGCCCCATAAATCAAACTTGTTTAAAAGTTGCTGTTTGTTGACTTAACATTCAGTTTTAGGTTTCTGTGTTATCTAAAAGGGGATGTATACTTTTGTCTTTATTTGTTACTCTTAAATACCTTGAATTATGATGTCCTGATCTGTTTATTTCCTTCCAAATGATTCTTTTAAGTATAATTTCACAATGCACTATTTCTGGAAATGTTATTGAATTTGTATATTTTTCTTTTAGTCCGTTTTCTGTCATTTTATCTCCATTTAGTCACTCTTTCTGGTGAAAATGCTCATTTAAAGTTTGACGAGATCAATGAAAATTTTTCAAAAAGAGTTTGTCTGTTTTTCTTTCTTTAATAAAAAATATTATTATGACTTTTATTTTTTCCTTTTACATTCAACACATCATGCAACTGAAGCAGCGTTTTTAAAAAACAATTTTGGCTTTTTTAAGCTATCAGAAGTAAAGACGTTTAGCTGCAGAGGTTACAAAAAAAGGCTCATTTATTGTGCAATAACATTACAGGTCCAGTGAAAGTCAAGTTGGAGGAAAACAATGTGGAATGACTCAGGAAGCAGAGCTAAATAAATAAAACAACCTCCATGCACAATCATCAAAAACAGCCGGCTGAGAGAAATGTCTGTATGCTGGTTTGGTTCTGAGTAGGAGGGTCCGGTTCTGCAGCAAAACTCACTCACAAAGCAAATAAACGGCGAGCAGAAATGGAAAGTAAACACGGGAGAAAAAGGCATCTGATTCAAGTAAACAAATATTTCTTTCAAGTTCAGAAAGTTTGGCCCAAAGTGAAATGTTAAACCTGATACAAACATGAATTAAAACAGGTACTGTCGTGTCAAAAGAAACCAGAAGACAAATAAAAAATGGCAGTGAATTGATGTGTTGGCTCTGACATTTAAAAATCTACTTCATGTGCTAAAACGTGTCCATAATTTTAACATTTCAGTGACTAAAAAAGTAAACGACTGTACAAATCTGTGTCGTACTAAAAATAGAAATCCAAAAATTGCAATATTTGTCCGACATATCAAAAAGTATCCCAGAGTAATAATCGATTCGTATAAAAGACGGTCGGGGGTCGGGGGGGGGGGGTCCTCGCTGTACAGGTGAGAGGGGGGGGCGATCGGAGGGGCGGGGCTAAATGTTGGCAGAAGATCGGAGGACGTGGAATCTCTTCAGGATCATTCGGATGGATCCCAGCTCACGGTTCAGTCTCTCCAGACGATTCTCCAAGGCCACCTGAGGACGGAGGGGGGGCAGAAACAGAAGCAGACAAATATTTAAACTAAGAAGAAAGCAAAATGTCAAAGCCTTTCTCCTTTGGTGAAGCACCAATGAGCCAAACTCAGCGGAAGGCGACGGTACCTGTCGGCTGATGAGCTCTGAGCTAAAGCGGAGCAGCTTAAAGCCCGTTTAAAGCACACGGCTGTGTGCAAACTCTGGTTTAATAACTAAAGAAAAGTTTATTTAGCCCTTGTGCTCCCTCCTGGGTTCATTCATGCACAGGTTTTAGTGAAAACAGGATTTGAATGACCCCAGGAAGGTGCAATAGGGTTAGTTTGTTTTACAAAATCTTGTAAAAAATTACTATATCATTAAGGTGAAATATCACTTGAATGTCTTTGTTCTATTAAAGCTATGCTAACTTTTTAAAAATAACATCCAGTACTTTGTCTGATACACAGATTTCTGAGACCTGTTGCATCATCATGCGGAAATGACTGATTCATTACTAAATAATCAAAAATACATGTAAAATAGGAGTTCTGTCCACTCGGCACAATCCATAAGAATCTTAAATAGGAGAGTAAATGCGTCGGTAGGCTGGGGGAGGCGTGTTACTGTCTGAGGCGTCTCACCTCGTCCAAACGCGACTGCAGACTCACTCTGCCGCCGGCTACAGGCATCCGGCTCAAAGCCGCCTCAATCTGCAAAACACAGGCTTAATTTAGTCACACGGGCACATGAAGACATGCCTTTTAAATTAAGATTAACAGTTAGGAAGCCTCCAAGATGCAGAGCAGGAACAAAATAAAGAAAAAGGAGGAGGTTTTAAGCATTCATCCTAATGTGGGCTGGTGTCAGATAACATGGAGAATCTTTTAAATATTCTAAATATTTTCCACAATTAATATAGAGCAAAAGCCTTTTTATCTCCTTTATTCAAAAAACAATTCTGGATTATTTAAATTGTCTTGTTCATTATAAATCCTTTACATTTTTTCATTTAACTTGTTTCATTCAATTGATTCAATTTAATCTGATTAAGGTGAATCAAGTTTCAATCAATTAATAACAAAAGTTATCAAAAACATAAAATCAGAAAAATTGAGATTTCTTTCATTCAATTATCTAGCTAATATAAAATATCAATTAAAAAAAATGAAAAATTAGAGTTTATAATTCTAATTATAGAACTAATTCCCCTCCAGAGATGATATCAAAGTCTTATTGAAATGAGCTGAATAGAAAGGCATCCTGGGTTTTTTCGTGTTTTTCTGAGTCTGTGGAGGAAACATTTCTTCATAAACCCGTCGCCCACCTGCAGCTTCTCCTGCGTCAGCTCGTCGAACAGCCTCTCGGCCTCGGCCAGAGACTGCGGCCGGCTGAGGGTCAGCGGACCCGAGTCCTCGCAGGAGTCCAGCAGGTCCGGTCCACCGCCCCCCCGCTGCTCCCCCCCCAGGGCCATCACACAGCCCGGGGACGCCTGCTCCAGGAGGTCTGAGAGGGAGGACAGGACAGGAGTTACTGTACTGTTACTGTTCATTTGTACATTCGGATCTATATTTTTAAAGATTGTTCATTTGTACATTCGGATCTATATTTTTAAAGATTGTTCATTTGTACATTCGGATCTATATTATTAAAGATTGTATTTTTCAGTTTTATCATTTCTGTCCTATATTTTTATTTCTACATTCTATTTCTTGCTTCTAATAGAAGTGTTGTGTTGTGCACCAAACACCAAGGCAAATTCCTTGTAAGTCTAAAAACCTACTTGGCAATAAACCTTATTCTGATTCTGATTCTCCCGGGGGAACCAGGACCTTTCTGGGTGCATGTTCTCCCTGTGTCTGCGTGGGTTCTCTCCGGGTTCTCCGGCTTCCTCCCACAGTCCAAAAACCTGCATGTTAGGTTGATTGGAGATTGGGGAAATTGCCCTTAGGAGTGAATGTGAGTGAGAGTGGTTGTTGGTCCTTGTGTGTCTCTGTGTGGCCCTGTGATGGACTGGTGGACTGTCCAGGGTGTATCCGGCCTCTCGCCCGTTGACCACTGGGATAGGCTCCAGTTCCCCCTACGACCCCATCAGGGCATAAGCGGTATTGATAATGGATGGATGGAATGGATGATTCTGATTCTGATTCTGATGTGAGCAACTTTAAAACAAAAGGCTGAACGGCTCTAGATGGGAGTTTTTTGGGGCTCCATAAATGAGCTCCTGAGAACAGAAAAAGGCAATTTTTCCTCTCACCTTTCACCTTTAAAGCTGTAAAACTCACTGTCATCGTATTAATCAAACTTTCCTTTTAGACGTGCCTCATAAAACTTTTCCAGCAGTTTTTCATCCACTTGTCTCAGGATATAAATTCATCCAGCCATCGGAGGCAAATCCAATCCAGAGGCCATTTTCATAAACTGTCACACCTTCCTTGTTTTGAGTTAAAACTCTGCATAATGTATGAGGCCTGAAAAGTTTCCAACACTTTGTCCTTTTCACAAACTAAAGTTTTTAAAGTGGTTTACTTATTCACATGCACTCAGTTTGGCGGTTTAATTAAAAGAGAAAAACCTTATAAATCCCAATAAACAATTTCAAAAGCTGACCGGAAACCTTTAGCTCCGTTCAAACATCAGAACAGACACTTTTTGGTGCAGCCAGGTTCATACAAATGGGTTGAAGTTAAAAACACTTCAGACAATCCTGAAGAAATCGGATGATTTACCGTCGTTTTCAGCCGACGGGAACTGGAGTCTCTTTCTGGGACTGCTGCTGTGGATCGAGTGCCTCCTCTTATCAGCTGCTCCGTCCTGCCTGTAATTGCCAAAATGGACGCTGCGGTGAGACTCTCTCAGGCACAGGGACACATTTAGAGACCGGAAACAATACTATTATTATTATCATTATTATTATTACAGACTGTCAGTCTGTCAGCCCAGGCTGATCCTCAGAGTCTGAACCTGGTTCTGTAAGATGTTCTCCTCTCATCCTAAAGGCTCCTTTAGCTCTAAACTACATGGGAGTGGGGGATCAGTCTAAAAACCAGAGGGGGGGGGTTACATTCTGAATCCTCTGACCAATGAGAGTCATCCTCACCTGTAAATCGTCTCATGCAGAATGGAAACATTCAAAGTTTTAATAAACCAGCTCGACTAGAGTTTAAAGGAGACATATTATACCCTATTTCAACAAGTTAAGCTAGTTCCCTGGTGTCCTAATGTAATGTCTGTGACAAGCTTTGATCAAAATCCCATAAGGATGAAGCCCAATAGCAGTTCAGTCCCCCTGCCTAACCCTAACCCTAACCCTAACCCAAAACAGCCCCGTTCAGAGCGCTCGCTTTGGAGTGCCTGTCTCTTTAAATGCAAATGAGACACAGGCAATCCACCCACTTCTTCCGGGAGGTGTGCCCACGTCGGCACGCTAACGCTACCATGCTAACGCTACCACGCTAACGCTCACGCTACCACCACGTCTGCCACAGATAGGCGGAGTAAGCTGAGGTGGGGGGCAACATGCAGGTGAAAGGCTGGAATATTATAATGAGCTAGAGCTAATGACGTCAGAAACTACCCACTCCTGAAACCTCCTGATTTATCTCCTGGATTGAGACTGAGGCAGCCCACAAAAATATGACTGAGTCATTTTTTTCACACTGATAGGTCCTCCACAGTCCCAAATGTACATAATCAACTGATTAAAAACTTGGTTTTGCTTAATATGTCCCCTTTAAAAGAATCCCTCAGCCTGAGGGACCAGATGAGTCCCCTGTGGGTGAACACGCCGCCCCCTGCTGGCCTGAACAGGTTCTGCCTGACGTCTCCCTCTGATAACGGCGGGTTTCCTCACCTTTGCAGCAGGTGCTCCTCCCGTGGCATCAGGTGGCCGAAGGCTGTGGAGTAGTTCTCTGTGGGGCAGCGTTTGGGGCTGGACTTTGCGGACATGGGCGTGAGCAGCGTTTCTCTCTTTGCTGGATGGCGGAGAGACACACACGGAGAGTCAAAACTGATGCAGAGTTCCTAAAAATGACTTAATCAGAGCCCTCTCTGAACCCTAACCTGTGAGGGAAAAGGCTCTTCACACAGATAGATCATAATGATAATATTTAAAGAACTGTTCTGGTGGGCGTTACTCACTGGGCGTAGCCGGGGGGAGGTTTCTGTGAGCGGGGGGGGGCAGGGAGGAGGACCTGTGGCCCTCCGGGGACAGACTCCTCTGAGCCTTCAGCAGAGCTCCGGCCCTCCGGGGGCCCCCCCGCTCGGCCGCCCCCCCCCCCCCCCCAGCTGCTCCCCGATTGGCTCTTTGAGTCTCCGCTCCACAAAGCCCACCGTGGTCCTCTGGTGGCCCCCCCCTGAGGACAGAGGAGGGTTACCTCCGAACGCTCAACAAGTTTGGATCGAATACAGAAAGATGAAGGGATGGAGGTCGGAGGAAGTCGGAAATCTGAGTGCTGCTTCGATTTGGTGTGAATTACAGAAAGTTGAATTCATTTAACATTTTTCACGAGTTGTTCGATCTGAAGGAGAAAGTGGGACGAATCTGATCTTTTCCCGTTTATTTTCCTTCCTCTCTTGGCTTTGACAGACAGATAGAGATAGATAGATAGATAGATAGATAGATAGATAGATAGATAGATAGATAGATAGATAGATAGATAGATGCTGCTTACAGGGGGCCCGGCCCTCCGTGGCTTTGGTCTCCTCCAGCTCGATCAGCGCCCTCATCACGGGCGTCAGCGGGCTGGACCCGTCCCTCCAACCCGCCTCCCGCTGCCCGCCGCTCTGCTCGCACTCCGGGGGAGACGCACACCTGGAGGAGCAGGAGCAGCCGAGCTCATCCACGGTCCTCTCAGAAGGCCGTTAACTCATTGGCTGCCAAAGACGTCTATAGACGTCTTTTATGTTTTTCAACGCGAGTGTCTTGGGGGACGATCTGCTAAAGCTTGTCCGTAAATATCAGGCTTCTAGACAGAGTATGTAGTAACAAATTGACCCTCTAGGTGGCAGTGCCACTTTTGATGAGAGATGAGCATAGACTGTAGGCAAATAAGAAAAAGGTAACGGTTCGCTATGAGAGAACATGTCGCCGGTGAGACGCAAGTCGAGGAAGAACGGAATAAGGTAGAAACACATTTTTTTCCTGATGAAAGAAGAGAGTCTACTCTTTCTTTTGGTGTGTTCGGTGTTTACATAGTCATAGCACAAACTATTCTGTGGCTTTTGAAAAATCAGTCAAAATGCTCAAAAAACTCTGGCAGTATGGGACTCTCTGTTCTGAAAATGGCTGGCAGTCAGTGAGTTAAACAGAGCATGGAGGGGGAAGCTACCTCCAGCCCCCCCCGGCTGAGGAGGCGTCCACGGAGCTGCCCGTCCCTGACGAGTGGTCGCCCGCGGGGGGGGGGGGCCTCCGGCGGGCGCCCGGCTGGGACCGCCGGCCCCCGCCCAGCTGCTCGGACAGGTTACAGGGAGACTTCCTGCGGGTGACGTCGGGCTCCGGTTTGCTCTTACTGGGCGACAGCAGCAGGTCCGGGTGGTGGAAAAGGCTGCAGAGAATAGAAGAGAAGAATAAAAAAACTAACCAAAGCAGAAGCAGGAACAAAAAGATGTAAAACAGAAAAAACTCTGACCATTTGTAGCATTTCAAAATCTCAAATCTTAACAGTTCTGCTCCTTCTTTTCCTTACAAAAGAAGTCTGGCTCCCAGTTTGGGTCACTTATGACGGAAATATAATGCTTTTAAAGGGCCTCACCCGGCCCCGGAGGGCTGCGTGTTACTGTGGGACGCGAATCTGAGCCTGGCCTGGTTCTCGTGCTCCAGCTGCTTCACCTGAGACTCCAGCTTAGAGATGACCCTGCAGGGTTCAAAAAGACACCATAAAGCAGAAATTCTACAAATCTGCTTTTCTAAAAGTGTCTGAAGATACAGTTTAAAGCTGCTTCCTAACATTACGAAAAGAAACACAGCCGAAAAATGGACTGAAAATAAACACAAAAGCTCAAATATCTCAGAAAAAAAGCTATAAAAAGCTATGAAAAAAGTTAGGCTAGAGGTCGTATATTTATATATATATAAAAATCAAGAAAACCAGAACAAGAAAATAAGGACTCTACACAAGCCAGAGAACCCATATTAGAAAAGAAAACTCCCAAACATTTGAGTAAGAGCCTCCTATCAGGCTCTTTTCCACAGGACTGGAAAATCAGACTAAACCAACACTTGTTCAAAACACTGAGAGTTTTTAGAAGAAGATGAAGAGCAAAAAAAAAAAAGCACAAAATGAACGAGAATCACCTTTTCAGCTCAGAAATGTGATCGCCGGCGTCCACTAGCTTGCTCTCTGCAGACAGCAGCTTGTTCTGTCCACGAAAAAGGTGACAGTAAGGCATGAAAAATTCAACCAAAGAAGAAGAAAATACAGAGAAAAGGAAAAACCGAGAGAATTCCTAAGAGTCTGCACCTTCACGGCCTCGTGCTCGTTCATCACAGAGTCGTATTCTCCGAGCAGCTGAGGGGGAAAAAGGAAAACACAGATTTAGGACTTCTGAGGGCCAATAAATCAAGCTGTCCTCTCCCTAATCGCTGCAGAGAGCCGGGATCCCGGACTCTCTGCTTTACAGGCGAGCGCCATAAACCCAAAAACCAACCGCACAGAAGGACACCAGCAGGGTTTAAAAGCGCCAGATTAACCCTGTAATGCCAAATGTATCATATTTGATACACACGGTTTCTGAAATGTTTTGCGTCTGAAGACTACCCAAAAAATAATCTTGACTTATCGCATAGTAATAAATTATTAACTCATTGGCTGCCAAAGTCGTCTATAGACGTCTTTTATGTTTTTCAACGAGAGTGGCTTGGGGGACGATCTGCTAAAGCTTGTCCGTAAATATCAGGCTTCTAGACAGAGTATGTAGTAACAAATTGACCCTCTAGGTGGCAGTGCCACTTTTGATGGGAGATGAGCATAGACTGTAGGCAAATAAGAAAAACGTAACGGTTCGCTATGAGAGAAATGGCGCCGGTGAGACGCAAGTCGAGGAGGAACGGAAGAAGGTATAAACACATTTTTTTTCCTGATGAAAGAAGAGAGTCTACTCTTTCTTTTGGTGTGCACGGTGTTTACATAGTCATAGCACAAACTATTCTGTGGCTCTTGAAAAATCAGTCAAAATGCTCAAAAAACTCTGGCAGTATGGGACTCTCTGTTCTGAAAATGGCTGGCAGAGTTAATATTAAACATTTATTTCAGTTTTTTCTTTTGACATATTTTGTTAAAAGGCGAAATAAAGAATTCAAACAAAAAAAATGTATCTTCTGTTTTGTTTTATCTTGGATCAGGCTTTAAAGGGTTAAGTCAGGGGTGTCCAAAGTCGGACCTCAGGACAGTGGCCCCAGGTTTTAGAAGTCTCCCAGCTTTAACACACCTGATTCCCATGTGTGTGCAAATATCAGACCTGTGCAGAGCCTTTAAACTGATCCACTTCATGAGAATCAGGTGTGCTGAAGCAGGGAAACCTCTAAAACCTGCAGGACAGTGGCCCTCAAGGACCGGAGTTGGACACCCCACCGTTAAGTGGATTTTTCCTCGGACTCACGTCCTGGAGCATCTTGTGCTCCTGCTCCCTGCTGGCCTCCCTCTCCTCGGCCTCCCGCCGTTGTTTCTGCTCCTCCTCCTCCAGCTGCCGCACGCGCGCCTTCAGCCGCGCCGCCTGCGCCTCCCTCTCTCTGCCCGACCGTTTTCCCTCCTCCAGCCGCTGCTGCAGGGACTTCACCGCCGCGCCCGCCACCGCGTAGCGCTCCGGCCACTCCGCCTGGGAGAGGGAGAGGAAGAAAATAACTCAAAGACCATTTAGCCGCTCAGTCGGAAAATCCAAAACTTTGATGAGCAAAGCCTGAAGATACCAGTTTTTTCTCCAGCGAGCTGTTGGCCGCCTCCAGTTCCTGCACGCGGCCGGTGGCGTCTGCCAGAGCCTTCTCCAGATGTTTACACCTGCAGATTAAGAAGATTTTTTTTTTAAAAGTACAACATTTATCATCATTTCATGTTGCTGCTGGGTCACCTTTCATCGGATATTCATCTAAAGCCATAAATACTGAAACGTAATCATCAGTTTTTCTCTAAAAAGACAGTTAAATGTGATGAAATATTGCAAAACAATGCGTTTTGCCTTTTTTATTTAGTGTAATACAGAATTATCTTATCGGTAATAAGGAGTTTTGATGTTAGCTGCTTTTTAAAGTTTAAACCGAGTATAATTTGAGTCAGACCCATCCACACGTATGTAAATTGTCCAGTTTTAGGCGAACCAACTTTGATTTAGCGCTCTGAGAAAGTTCACACAAACCTTTCAGTTAGCGCCTGGTTGCTCTTCTCTAAATCTTGAGGCAGATCTCTAAGCTTGAGCTTGTCCCGCAGGACCTGGATCTCGGACTCGTAGTACGCCTTCAGGTCGGCCACATGTCGGGAGTGCTTCTCCCTCAGGTTCTGCCTCAGCCTGGAGGAGGAAACAGAGGATTTCTAGATAAATTAACCTCTGTGTGAGGCACACCAACGGTAGGGATTATGCGAAGTACCCAGGTGCTCCCTAATAATCTAGAATATCAGAAAAGGCCCTCTGACACAGAAAGAGAACAAGACACTCCATGACCCCCTCAAATTTCTCTGACTGTATCCTGAATGGTCAGAGTTTATCTGCTGGATGAGCAGATATTTGTTTTTTTAACGGGATAAAGGGCAATTTGACTACTAAGCACATAAGAGGTTGTCAAATGTGGTGAAATATTGCAGAAAAAGTTGTCTCTTGTCTTTCTTTTTAGTATCACTGAGCAAGGAAGTTTTTCCTTGCCTGTGTCGCCTAGTGCTTGCCCATGGTGGGAATTGTTGGGTTTCTGTAGTTAACTTCAGAGTAGCGTCTGACCTGCTCTGTTTGGAAAGCGCTGTGAGTCAACAGTTGTTGTGATGTGGCGCTATATAAATAAAATTTAATTGAATTATCTTATCAATTGTGTTGCAGATTATGCTAATGCTAATAAGGAGTATTCTCACAGTCTTTAACCTCCTGAGACCCGAGCTTTTATTTGGCATGCATTTTAGCTTTTTTTTTAAAGATATATGAGATACATATTTAATTAAATGTTTTTACAATTTTGTTCTGACAGTCCCGTTGACTCATTTACAGTTTTTCTATTACACAATAAGAACATGATTGGATGGAAATGTATAAAACCATTTTACTTTAGATTTCAAACAGTGTCTGATAGCATCTGCTATGAGGTCAAGAGGTCAAAGCTGAAAGAAAAAAAGAAGTATCATGGTAAAGAGAGACAAAAATGCAACGTCCTCTTATGAGGACACAGGGTCTCAGGAGGTTAAAGTTTGACCAAACGCCTATTAAAGTATTCAAATGTCCATTTCTAGACAAATCAACAATAATGAGAAACTTTCTGATGTTCCCTGGATGTTCGGATTGTGACTTCTTCTTGGACTCACAGGGAAAGGACGACGGGGTCCTCTAAGGACGAAGCTCCCTCCGGGTGAGGGCCGATGGAGGCTGACCCGGGCTTCAGGGTGCTGGTGTGTGTGCGGCTGCCCTCCTCCTCGCTGGCTAAGGGGGCGCTGGGGCGCCGCTGCTGGGGGGGCCGGGCCACGCCCCCCAAGGGGGACCGGGCCATGCCCCGGGGGGTGGGGTCCCTGGAGGTGGGGTCCCTGGAGGTGGGGTCCCTGGAGGCCAGGCCTCTGGAGGCCAGGCCCCTGGAGGCTGGTTCCCTGGAGGTAGGGTCCCTGGAGGCTGGTTCCCGGGAGTTAGCCGGTTCCCTGGAGGCCGAAGCACTGGAACTGTCGGAGATACAGTCCGTGTCTCCGGGGTTGGGGCTCCCCGCCATGCTGTCGGGGGTCCCGGGGGTCCCCAGTCTGGGCTGCGCCGCGAAGGAGGGGCTGCTGAAGTGGGAGGGCGAGGTGAAGCCGGAGGTGCGGTCCGACTGCCGCGCGGTGGCCGCCGGGTCCAACGCGAACACCTGGAGCAGAGTGGGAAGTTCAGCTGGGATTCGTCCGGACGGGGGGGGGGGAAACGACCTCTGACCTTATGGTCATGTGACCAACCTGCGGCGACAGCGGGCTGGAGGTGAGCGAGCCCTCCCAGTCCGGATGCGTACAATCCTTCTGCTTGTTCTGATAGATCTCTCTGAGGGAGATCCGGGGCTCCGGAGGCGGAGTCTGTGAGAGGGAGAGAGGCCACACGTGTAAATACACCTCCGTTCAGACAAGTGTTGCTCCATGTCTCAGGAACACCACCAAAATATAGAGTCTACTCCAAAACCCCACCAGGTTCCCCCCCTCTGCTGACAGACAGATTATTTATTATTATTTTCATTTCTCTGCGGGCTTCAAGTGTCACATTTTGGTGATTTTAGACACAGCCGACAACATGTTTTGATTGTAAAAAGATTATTTTAAAGAAAGTCTAATCACAGGACTGATTTATCTCTGTAGTTAAAAAGAGCGTAATGGTTTTGTAACAACTTCTGTTGATTGTAACTGGTCGTATGACATGTTATCATCGTGTTTTGTGCAGACCAGTTAAGAAGATCATGAGATTCTTCTTGATTTTTTCTGACGCTGGAAAACTGCTCACAACTTAATAACTTCAGGTGTGACCGGTTTTAAATCTTGGATCTGAGTGGTTGTTTAATTTAATTTACGGATGGTCACTTTTTAAAAATGTTTAATGCTAAGCTAGCTAATGTTAAATGCTATCCAGACTAGGGGTATTAGCTTCTAAGCTAAATGTTTTGATAACCGTTAGCTGTAGCTTAAAACTTCTTATTCTCCCTATAAGGAGCAGAATCAAGAGAAAATCATTACATTTTTTTACATCAGTGTTTAAATAAAGGTCAGAAGATTTTTTTTTTCTCGTTAACTTCTAATCTTTTTTTTCTTTCTTTGAAACTAAACTAACTTAATTAATTATCACTCTTTCTTTTAATTAAAATTTCCCCATCAACTAAACTAGTTAAAACTCTTTCTTTTAATTAGTCTTTTTCCAACAAATGTATTTAGTCGTCTATTAAAAGTGTGACCAAGACAAAATAATACGGTTATGTATTTTCCTTAGTATCTGTGTGTAGACTCAGGCTTAACTATGAGACTCCAGAACAGAAAAGGCAGACCGGTATCCGGCCTTGCTGTAATACTCACCAGACCCGTGGAGGCCTCTTGTAGAAAGAGGTAGGCGCCGCTGTCTAAGCTGTCTGGAAGCGGCCGGTACAGCTCACACTCGTTCAGACGCCAGTATGTGAGGCCTAAGATGGACAAACGGGGACTTTATATCACCAAACCCTTCTTGTGGCTGTTTGACATCATGTGTTTGTGAATGAAGGACTCTCAATAGAAGCACTACAACTTTAGCTCTTTATATAGGGACCAATATTGGCTTTCCAGTGATCCCTCTTCCATATCCAGCCTCTGGTGTTGTGATGGTTAGCGGCATCATTCTTAAAACTCATATAAAGATAACTCAACCTCATCATGAAAAGGTTTCCCCTTTTCAAATGTGGGAAAGATGTTAGTTGGATAAAGAAGAGTCACATCACAGGCATCATGCAGAGAAAACATCAGAGGAGGATGCAGAAACGACTAAATCTGGGTAAAAAACTGGAAGAAAAGTGGTGAACCATCGTCTTCCAGGAAGACGGGAAATAAATCAGACTGAAAAACAACAGTAGAGCTGTGTTTTAGGGTAAGAGAGAGGCAGCCCAGTCAGATATGAGAGCGTGGGACCCGTTTCCTGGCCAGCAGACAGTTTGTTTTAAAGGGGACATAGTATGCAAAACCAAGTTTTTAATCATTTGATTATGTACATTTGGGACTGTGGAGGGCCTATCAGCAGGCAGAGTGTGAAAAAAAATGACTCATATTTTTGTGGGCTGCCTCAGGACACCTCCCGGAAGAAGTGGGTGGATTGCCTGTGTCTCATTTGCATTTAAAGAGACAGGCACTCCAAAGCGAGCGCTCTGAACGGGGCTGTTTTGGCAGGGGGGCTGAACTGCTATTGTGCTTCATCCTTTTGTTATTTTGACTAAAGCTCGTCACAGACATTACATTAGGACACCAGGGAACTAGTTTAACTTGTTGAAATAGGGTATAATATGTCTCCTTTAATAACACTGCTGTTACAGATGTGTTCTCGTTTCACTCTCCGGATCGTTTGAACGTTTTGCTTTTATCGTACTCGGTCAGAGTCGTTATGAGCTGTTACCTGAAGCCTCGGACATCAGGCTGTCGCTCCTCCGGAGGGAAAAGGAGCTGGATGGGGGCCCGGCGGGTCGATGCTGAAACCGGATAGAGGTGAACCGGTGAGCTTTACGAACACAGAATAAGCTTCCGAGGGTTTCCGGGAGCCGTACCTCGTCCGGGGAGTTGGTGCTGTCCGGCGGCGTGCGTCTGCCGGACTCTCTGAGGCCGCCGGGCCGGCCCTGGGCCTCCGGGGTCTGGGCTGGAACTGGTCCCGCCTTGCTCTTCTTGGGCCTGAGCTTCTGCCTCTGGGCCCAGGAGGTCAGCTGCTGGCTGGTGCTGCAGGTTAAGGAGGGACACAACTGGTTTTTAATACTTAAACTCCACACATTCAAAAGATAATAAGCTAATAAGAAGTAATAACCTGTTTTAGCTTTATAGGAGACATTTTGACTGTGTTCACAAACTATTTTACATCTTAACTTTCCCTAATGATTTCAACGTCTCACCTTTACTCTGGAAATGGGGAACAAACCAGAAGTTGTTTGTTTTTCTTTGTATTTGTGTTTCTGGTAAACCCCCTTTTTTTCCTCTAACTACACACTTGTTAGTGTCTTTCATCTGCAAAATAAATCCTGCATCATCTGAAAAGCTCAAATAAAGTAATAGAACTTCAATGTTGACATTTTACTGTGTACATAAATATATAGAGACTGGTCTGCCCAAAATAATCTCTTAAATTAAAACTGTTGTCGGTAACAAATTCATGGCGTTTTAAAGGACATCTGTGGAGGTTTTGGACTGTATTGGTGCCATTAAAGACGGTATGAATAGCTCAGATGGATGAATCTCATTCCGAAATGTGGTGATTTCTAACTCTTCTGTACCCAGAGCCTTTCTGATGTGGACCATCCTTCTCTTTGGAAACGTCCTGCTGGGGTCCGATCCCTGCTGTGTCCTGGTGGGGGGGGGTCCCCCACAGGCTCTGGGGTCTCCCTTGATCATCCTCCCCGTCCTCCCCCGGGCCCTCGGCGGTTTCCAGGCCCGTTTCCCAGGCGCCCAGCGTGCCGTAGCCGCTGCTGAGCACCGTGGTGGCCCGCTCCTCCCCCTGGATGTGGAGCTCCGCTCTGGGGGGAGGAGGGGGGGAGGAGGGGGAGCTGACGGGAGAACGGCCGGGGGCCGCCGGGGCCTCGCTGTCAGCCGGCGCCGTTTTGAGGGAAATGGGAAAAATAAAGTCCTTGGTGTTGGCGGTGCTCGTGGCCAGCGGGGCGGGGGAGAAGTCGGCGTGCGGCTGAACGCAGGCCTGCCGGTTCTGGAGCTGAACCAGAGCCTTAATCTCATCCTGAATCAGCTGCAGAGGAAAAAAACAAGGATTCAGGAGGATTCAACCAGGAGAAGCAGACGCCCGGCGGTGGTGCGGAGATGCTCAGGCTCACTTGTATTTGGCACTGGTACTGCTCTTGCTGAGCGAGGATTTGCTCTTGGTATTGCTTTTCGACCAGCTGAAACAGATGCAGCCACCGGCTCTGTTGGGCAGAACAGAAACGCAACTTCTCATTATCTGTAAATCTGTAGTAATCTGTATCTGTAGTTTCAGTCAACGCTAAACTTGGACGGATGGTCTCTGTGGATCCCAAACTAAAGCCTGATCTACCACCAGGTCAGAGGCCTGCCGAATCAAATCTTAAAGTGTGAAATCAGCACTTTTTAACCCTCCGGAGACCTGATGAAAACACAAAGCCTCTGTTTGAGATAAGAAACATGTCGTCCGCTCTTCCCAGAAACATGCAAATACATGTAAATAACTGCAGAAGCTATTTCAGCTCTACAACCCGCGCTTTGCGTTTGTTCACAAACTATTTTAACTTCATGGGATCCTTTGAACATACAATTGATAGCCAAGGTTAACGCATAAAATAAATAATTTCCCTCTGGGGTTATTAAGTATTTCTGATTCTAATTCTGATGAAAAAGTTATTGGTACGCGTGCATCACAGCGAGTTTATTCTGAGTAAATCTCATCAATCTGCTGATGAGAAAGCATCGTCTGCTGGCACCTGCTGATAGCTTACAGCTACCCTGCAAAACTCTTCCCCTTTGGGACCAACAGAAGCCCAAATCAGTCAATCAATACATCAATCCATCTAAAAAGAAATGCACTGAATTGTTAAAAAGCTGCACCATATGCCACCTTTAAAATCTTTGGTAGTAACGAACGCTGACAAAAACAAAAAAACGAGGGAACGTTTAGTCTAATAAGACAAATAAAGCTGGTTCATTTGCTCAGCGGCCTCAAAAGTCCATGCAGGGCAAAATAAAGCATCTTGTTAGATCCATGCGGTCTCCCCAGAGCCTCTGTGCGTGAGCCAACATGTGTGCACGTGTCCGAATGACACTTTGCAGCCTCGCTCTCGTTTGTTTTACCCCCCCCGGGGGACGTCCCGCTCAGAAAATGCCCGGATAATGAAGTGGCTGTGAACACTCGGAGGTGCCGTTTTAACACAGGCTGCTATTAAAGAGTGGGGAATGCAGTTTATACAGTGGGGGAAATAAGTATTTGACCCCTTGCTGATTTTGCAGGTTTGCCCACTTACAAAGAATGCTTATTTTTCCTCATCAGATGGTTATCAATTTTTATAAATTCATATGATGTGATTTTCTGGAATTTTTCTTTGGTATTCTGTCTTTCACTGTTAGAATGCACATATGATTAAAGTTATAGATCGTTGCATTCTTTGTAAGTGGGCAAACCTGCAAAATCAGCAAGGGGTCAAATACTTATTTCCCCCCACTGTATAAGGAGCCACGATTCTCCCGCGGACAGGCCGAAGAGTGATTATGTCATCCGGGGGGCGGCGTTTCCCCTGGCAAGCGGAGCTGTCACATCAGTTGCTCTGAGCTTTTGCGGATGTCAGGTGTGATCCTCAATAAAAAGCAGAAGTGACAGCTCCCAAAACGAGGCCGCCAGCTGCCCGGGCGAACGCCCCTCCCAGCTCAGGCTCCCGTCCGGACAGACCAAAATAAGAGAGGCGCCCCCACCTCGCAGTCCTTCCACATCTCGGGGTCGGTCTCGCCGCTGCTCTGGATCTCGTGCACCAGGGCCCGGAGGGTCTCCAGGGAGCTGGGGTTGATGAATGGGAGGTGCTTCTCATGCTCAAACGCTTCATCCGTGCTCAAACACAGACTTCTGGAGCAAAAATTGCACAGAAATTTTGTCATGCTGATGCACAAAACATACAAAACAGTCACATTTCTCTTGCGTGTGCTTATTTATTCAGTTTGGACGTCCATTGTTGTTTCTAAATGTGCTTTAGAAATACATTTGGAGTGGATTGGTCATCTAACAGAATCCTGACTCCTCACATCTAAAGTCAGAAACTGGTTTTGCGTAAAACCAGACTAGAGATTTAGAATGATGTTACAAATGTCTGAGTTTTTGTTTAAACCCTAAAACATTAGATTGAGCAGACTGAGTTTTATGGCCACCGTAAACCAAAAGATGGACGTTGTGGAGGGAACATCAGGGATCTCAAAGTCCAGCCTCGGAGGTTTTTACTTTGAAACGGGTCTGTGGGAGAATATTAAGTTCCTCACAAGTCTGTCAGGGAGACCCTGGTGCGCTGGACTGTGAGATCCCTGTAATGTGGTGTGCTGTGCGGCCTGTTGGGTTTGGTCAGTCCACCTGATTTTGTTGCATGCTGGTGTGATGTCCAGGGCTCTGGTCTCCACAGGGCCGCCGGTGGTCTGGGAGTCGGGGCGCCTCTCCTCCAGGACGGCCAGCCTCCCCGAGGCCGACGTGCCCTCGGAGGACACCAGAGAGGCCTCGCTCTCCTTCCCCGCATCTCCATCGGCGCTGACGTGGCAATGGCTCAAAGCCCCCGAGCTGGAAACATCCTCAGAGACGCTGTCATCTGTGGACATGTTTACGGGCCCATGTGGAGGGGGTCAGTCTGACAGCTGGGCAGCGGAGAGAGAGAGAGAAAGCAGCCATTACTTCTCCTTTTTTTTTAAATGAACAATAACAGCACTTCCTCTGCTTTCACAGCAATGGAAAAATGCATTAATAAACAGGATACATGTTGAATTAAAAACACAATTCAGCTTTCAGATTTAAAAATAATTAGAAATAATCACGTCGTCTTTGCTGTGAAGTGTCTGGATTCAGTCACGTGCTGCTTCTGATCTGTGACAGGAACTTAAAACAGGACGACCACTAAACTTAGCATCTTTTAAACAGCTGAGACAGATAACATCAGGCTCGGCTGGGTATTAGCAGCTTTGTGTCGCTTTCAAAGAGCTCATCCTCCTCCTCCAGATGTTCCAGATGTTCCAGATGTCGCCCCCCCACCCGGAGCCCGGAAAGACGGATCAACTTATCTAACTAGAGGAAGGTCGCTGCCACTAACCAGCGTTCAGGTGGTGAGCGGGCTAGCTCAGTTGGGGCTAAGTTGGTTTATTACTGGTTTGTAAGCACCGCGGAGGCAGGAAGGACGGCGCGCGGACACGCAGCCCACGTCCGCGTGCCAGACGCCGCAAAAGCCGCGGACAGAGTCTCAAAAACGGCCAAAAACGTTTCCGGTCGACCTACCCGTTGACTTGTGTCGTTATTTCATCCATATTTCTCCGAGAGCGGCTAGCTGGTTGCTGGTTGGCTGCTGCACTGCAGTGTTAGCGGACTGCTGTAGCGTCCGAGGCCGCGACGCCATTGGTCGACGCTGGATCCGAAATACGGGGCTGCGATTGGTCGGCTCTTTCTATCTGCGTTCCTATTGGCTGGCTGGGAGAAAGGGGAGGATACCTTTGCTGGGACAAAAACAGACAGGAAACTGTCTATAATACATGTTGAAACCTTTAAAACAACTATATTATTAAATTAGATATGTAGAGTAGTTTATTTATATATAAGCTTATATGTTATCTTTATATAACATTTATAAGTACAACATTTATAAGTATAATATAGCTGAAAACGCTTGCTTTCCCTCTCACAGCAGGTTGATAAGCATCATTAACAGTCTGTTAGGAGACATGAGAGTTAAGGCCTTATAGCCACGCTTCTCCTTGGATCTGTTCCCCAATGATGTTATTTAAAGCTAAAATAAGGTGCCAGTTTTCTTTTAATTATCAAGGAAATGTAATACCGTCTCAGACACAATACTAAATAAAACATCAGACAATTAATCACACTGACAACTGTATTGAAAATACAATTTATTACACAGAGTAATAAATACATACAAAGATGCAAGTTACAGCATTTTCCTTTTTTTTGTTGTTGTTTCTTTTAATACCAAAACCAACTTCAACATGGATGAACCAATGCCTCCGGCATACCTGTCCCTCGTTCACTCAATCATGTGTTAGAAAGGTCTGAAAAACAGACCAAATTCTATCCCAGAAAAAAAAGTCCTTTTTGTCTACTTCTGTACAACCCATGCAGTGTCTACGATTAACCCCCACACCCCCCAGGCCCGTTCGCATGCAAAAAAACAACGGTTTAAACATGAACTCCAACTTAGATCCCAAAAGAGGGGCATAAAACAAGAAGTTAAACAAAAAGAACAAACATGACGTCCTCACACTTGATTCCCAAAAACCCACACATGATTTAAGTCGTCCTCCAGAACCTTCAGGAGCATTTATTGTATTACTGTATTATTTTAGCTTTCTTTTCCACCCTTTCTCCATTTACTTCCTCCTTGCAAAGGAAATGCCATGCAAGTTATGTTTCTGTTCTCCGTGAAACGTGACTTCTGCAGGGCGGCGGGCGGCGGCGGCTAAGATCTGGCGTTCCTTTCCGTCTCGGCCAGGCATTCGCGGACCAGCCCGCGGGCGTGAATGATGCCTTCACCAGGCAAAAACGAGAGAAATACAAAACCACATGCAGGTTTAGAAACGTCTAACTGATCGGCTGTGATTCACATATATACTTGCACGGATTTCACCTCTTTTCAGTCTCTCCATTGCACTTTTGCTTCCGGCGTACGTGGGCCTGATTTCCTTTCCCAGCTCTTCGATGATGGCCAGCAGCTCTGCATATTTGTTCTGAGGCACTTGGCTGCCAGTGGAGCCCTGAAATGAGAACAAAGTAGAATCTATCTGCTCCTCTCTGTGTGGGCGTACCTGGAAATTCCTCTCATGATCGGGGTTGTTTTATTTATTTATTATTGGAGATGTGCTGTATAGCTGTACAACATTCCTAAAATTAAATCCGGAATGTTGTTAACTAAAATAAATGGGAAATGCGTCCAGTTTTTTTACACTAAACATGATACTATTAAAAGACAATGAATAATAGTGGTCAGGAAAAGATTGAGTGTAATAAGATTTAATAAGAAGAAGAAATATGACCTTATTTGTTTTAGGAAACAGAAAAACTGATGGGTCCTTTGGTGTTTGGATTGAACTGTGAACTCTTTTTGGCAGAAATGGGACAGTAAATGTGATTAGAAATGAAAGATCCGCCTTGGTTACCTGTGAGAATCCCAGAGATGGAGGTCCATAGTCGCTGAGCAGCGGCCTGTAGGACTGCAGCGTGGCCAGGTTAGCGGCCGAGGGAGAGGGGAGGTTTCCAACTGGAGGCAGAGGAGGGAGCATCTCATTATCATGTCCACGTATGATACCGAAATATACAGAGCTGTGGCTCGCTTTTTATTCCTAAAGTGCATTTAGCGGTTTGCATTTCATTATTTGACTTGTAATTATGGACAAATCACATGACTTTTCACTAATATTGATCTGAAAACCAACAATCTCCTCACAAATGGACTCAATATATAACCAAACTAAAAAGTCACATAGAAAATTAGCATTTTACCTTAAAATCTAAACTATGTATTAATGTGAGTCAAATTAGATCATAATTTTTAGCCAATTTAGCTTTGACATTTGTTTTTTTAATTATTATTTGAGCCACACGACCTTAAAATAATTTGATAAATCTGCTTTATTTCACCACTCAGAGGACGGCATTGAAATGAGCGAAGAAGCAGACAGTGCTATAAAATGTTTTTTAAAAAGTCTAAAAGATCAATGTGCTGCTGAAGTATTTCTATTTTCTATTTGTCTGTCTGCCAGACTGTGATATCTCTGGCATTTATCACAAATAAAAAAAAATGGGGAAAAATGGCATGTCTGTGACAGTTCTCCAGTAACAGTACAAACAGTACTGGATCATCCCTTGAGTTAGGGGCCCTTTTATGACTTCATGAATCACATGAGTGTTGAGGCTTTATATACCCAAAAAAAACAAAGAACAGGGGAGAAAATAAGAGCCAAAATGTAAAGAAACCCCTTCAAAGAGCTGCAGGAAAACCTGCAGAACTGGGACTCAAGGCCACCTGGATCCCAAGAAGGTTTGGCTAAACGTTGGCAAATACAAACAAAAACAGGTTAAACCAGACCCCTCTGTCTTATATCGTTAAAAAACAGACAAAAAGTGGGGTTTATTCCGCGTTATTTCGGCGTAAAATAAAATAAAAGCCGTGCCTGGAGCAGGACGGACCCCTGCCTCTTTGTTCGGGTGCAGTTCCCCGTTCTGGCCACCAGGGGTCCTCGAAGGGACCGAAAACACTCCGAGGCAGATCAATCGGCAGCTCCGACCGGGGAGCATCATGGAGGAAACGGAACAAGGCTGGCTCAAGAAGACATAAGTGATACATTTTTGTCTCCGCGTAACGGCGCCCAACCGGCGGGACCGCGACCCCGGACGGCGGAGAAAAGCCCCTCGCGGAACCGCCTTTCGCCTCGCGCGGCATCCCAACGGTTTCGGCCAACCGCTCCGCCTCGCGCACGGCGCTCTTTAACATTAGTAATAATGGCGGATATGAATTAGCCTAGCTCCCAGGATCTGACCCTATATATATAACTGGACAAAAACTACAGACACGGTCTTTCTCCAGGTATTCTCCGAGACCCCGAATTTAACACTCGATTTAACGGCCGGATACTCTGATTTCGGCCCCCGTTTTGTCCTTACCCTGGTTCCCAGAAGTTCCCGGAATGTGCTGATGGACGTTGGGTTTGTAAGACATTCCCAAAGACATTGTAAATTAAAGAAATAAAAATGACCCGAAATTCAGTGAAGCGTCTGTCTCACTTTTTGTTTACAACAGCGGCACCGGCAAATATGGCCGTCACTTTATATTGACACCCACTGTGCTTTTCTACCACAGCCGCCATCCACTGCGGCTCGTCGGGGAAAAAACGACTTTTAAACGGGGCTTTTTCACCGCGAAGCCTCGAAATTTAACGACGTTTGCCAGCGTTTATCAGGAAGTTTCCTCCGAGACTCACTTCTTCCGCACGCCTTTAAACCTTTAAGCGTCCTAACCCGGGCTGCCTTTATAACATTTTAAAGTTCAAATTTCACCCAACTTTTGAAAAAAAAAAAAAAAACCAAAAAAAAAAAAAAAATTCTCACTCACTTTAAATTCTTCAAAATCTACTTTTTTTATATTATAACAAAAAATGATAAGTTTTTGCACAATATTTAGAAAGGGAAAAAAACGATTTTATACCAATTTTAGTTTTAGGGGGTAAATCCATTTTCAGAGGTTTAAAGCAGAAACCTCTTCCTCCACCTCTGGACTCTTGGGGTCCTCTTCCCTTTAAAATGGGGGGTCCCCCTGGTCCCTCTGGTCCCCTGTGGACCGCATGGCTGGCCCCAATCCAGGGTCATGACCCCCCCCCCCCCCCCCCCGGGCAGTGACCCCCACAAAGGGGGGGTGATATTCTGATATTTTAAGGGGTTTGCAACCTGCTCAGGTGCAAAAACCTGTTTAAAGTCTTCACATTTTTAGCAGCTTTACAGAAAAAAAACAACTAGGTTTATGTATAAAACCGCAATTTATCTGATATAATAGGAGGCAGAAGGGGTCTAAATGTGTTTTTTCTCCATTTATATAATTGTTTAACAGTCTATAATTAATATTTTACTGTAAAAAGTAGAATTCTGCAGTGATTGGGAAAGAATACATTTTTAGTTTAGTTTTTTATTGAAATGTAAATACAGAATTATATTTATACACAAAATACTGTCTGTACAACCTTAAAAAGATAATTTTATCTGCAATTGAAATATAGTATTCAAAATTTTTAACATGTAAAACTAAAATAAATTCTTACTGCCTTGCTAATGTGTTTTCACCCGGCATTTAACAGGATGCAAGAATACATGAAGGATCTACAAAAGCATGTAATTCCTTCTAAAGGTGAGTTTATGATGGACCTGTATACTCCACAGCTAATTAAAAAAAAAACATTTATACACCAACTGTGAACACTAAATCATATCTATAAATCATAATTTCTGGGTACAACTCCAAAATCTCAAATGTAATCAATAAAAATCTCAAATAGAAAATTAGTTAAAAAGATTTTACTAAAACTGAGGGAAATTCTTATTCGATGGCTAAATAAAATCTTTAATGTTTGTGATGCGTAAAGAGCACAATGTGACTCACAGTAGAAGTATATCAAGCTTTATTGAGCATTACACTCAATCATGTACAGGTAACGTTTCATTTTTGTACAACTCTGTCAGTAGTGCAACTCGTGCGTCGATTTGAGAAACCATGAAAAGAGAAAAAGTCCTTCAAGTGTTTCGCCCATCGGCCGAGACGTCTTGTGTTTTTCAGACAAACGGACACAAAGGAAAACTCCTGCACACGACATCCCAGAGGACGAATACCGGAGGCGGGATTTTACAAGGTGCACATTCGAGTTCAGACCCCCCGACGGACGTCGTGCTTCTGTACAGTCTCCACGGGAACGGAGCCTCTGGCCCGGTCAGTGCAGGTTTACCCTAAACGCTCATTAGAGGCTGAAGGAGGGTATTTATGGGGGGGGGGGGGCACCAGCAGGCAGAGGCTGGAGGAGAGGACCTCCTCCGGTTAACGGCTTCACCCCTGAGCTGAGTTTTACCAAACGGAAAAAAAAGACACGAGAAAGCTCCGATTCCTCAGAGATTGGGCTGATTTTCTGGTTTAAATTAAAACAAAGTCTAAATGAATAGCAAATAAAATGGCATTTTGTGGTCGTGTGGGGGCGAAGGAACCCAACTCAAGCACAGCTTTGAGCAACGACTTCAAACGATCTCTCACCGATCGAAAACTTACGCTGAACGATATGAAACAACTGAGAATATAAAGAAACGACTGGACTAGGGAGCAGTTTAACAAGGTGACTTCTTAATACTATCATGTCTCAAATGACTCATTAAACGTCGTCTAAATGCTAAACTCGGCTGCAAATCCAACAGAAAAACGCCCCCAAACTCGCAGAACGGTTTCATGCACTTTAAATAAAAATATATCGCGCGGCGACGGATGACCGGACTCTGCGTGTCCGCGCGGCCTCCGGGTGCCTGAACGCACCAGTTGCATCGGCTGACGCAAAGGCACGTTTGACAAAGCGGTGGGTCCTGGGGGGGAGTTTGGTCTCTGCAAAGACATTTTTTTCCCAGCTGGACGACGTCCGACGTGAGCTCCGGACGCCCGTCTGACGAGTCCCCGGGGCTCCGGACTCTGTGGTTCTGCTTCAGCCTGGACCCCGAGAGTCTGTCTCCCTCTCGGACCGGATAAAACGGCTTAAAGCGCCACTGGGCGGGAACCAGACACAACCCCGCCCTCCTCCTGGCTCTAACCTCGTCAGAGACCTCTCTCTGGGCGTCCGAGGACCTCCGCGTGAAAACAAGAGCTTCTGGAGTTCAGAACTTTTCCTTTTTTTTTCCTTTAAAGTCTCTGTACAGCCGCTGTTTGTGTCCACGAGTCCCGCAGCCTGGCGCCACACCTCAGAGCCTGGGGGGGGGCGGGCGGGGCCCTATGTGTTGGGGGCGTGGCTGAGGCTCTGGGGGTGGAGCTGCTGCCTCTTCTGCTGCTCCTGCACGGCCAGCTGCTGGCACTGGTCCGACGTCGACAGCTTGTTGATCAGCGGAGACACGCAGTTCGCTGGAATGATGAGTCCTGCCGGAGAAACAAAGGCTCCCTGTTAGGCCCACTGTGACTGAAACGCCACCATTAGCCGCCAGATTCTGCTCCAGGGAGACCAGTTTCCTCCTTAAACAACGATCCGTAGAATTAGCTGTCAGTTGGTGACGGACCATAATAATTAGCCAGGCACAAGTCCTGCCTTTTTAAATAAATCTGACATGAACACAACTGGGGAGTAGTCATGTTAAAGCTGCCGGTCATATGCTTTTCTTCATCAGAGTCAGATGTAAACAGACTAAAGGTAGAGAGGACACCAGTTCATTCCTCAGCTTCTTAAGCTGGAAGCAGGAAAAGGAGAAAAGTCTGGAGCTCGTTAAGCCGTAGTCAGAAAGTAAATGAAGGAACTACGTTAACTTTTGTCCCTTCATGCAGGCTGGTGGAAGCCCGCCCCTATGGCGATTTGAGTCAAAGGGATTTACCAACGATGGGCACACAGTGAAACCCGATGTAAAACGGGCGGGCTTCATGTGACTCCCTGTCCAATCAGGGCCCGGCAGCTCGGCCCTGATTTGAACCCGTTTCCAGTAGTGGGAACCGTTTAGTGGGGCGAGGCCCAAGACGAGCAAGAGCAACCAGAAAGAAAAACACAGTCGAGTGGAAAACCCGTCTGAGCCACTTTCAAGTCGGTTCAAACGCAGAAGAACGAACTAACACTTTTTCTTTTAATGAGGAAAAACATGAAAATTCGTCAGGAAATTCCTTTTATCAAAGGATTACAGGCTCCCACCACTTAAACGGGACATCTAAAAGACACTACAACCGATATTATATTGTCATTTAAGGACATTTAACTGCTGCTTTTTCTGTTTGATTCAGTTTGTTTATTGTTTGCTTCTCTCCCCCTAAGCCAAAGAATAAATAAAATAACTAAAAACTAAGAAAGATCAGCCTCTCGGGGCGGCGCTCCGACTCACCGACGATCCTCTGCCCGTCCTCCGTTCGCAGGCGGACGATCTGGACCTTCACGTTGGTTCCGCTGACCGGCGTCAGCACCTCCTCCAGCTCGTTCCACACGCTGAGCACCGAGCCGCACAGGACGTAGTAGGTCCTGCAGCGCAGGCCCACCTCGCACTGCAGGCCCACCGAGGCCTTCTTACAGTTCCCGCGCCTGTGGGCGGAGTCACAGTTAGCCTGCTGCATCCCGCAAACCGAGACCTCCGTCTCAGACTTTCCTGTATCAGACCGTTACTTTGTTTGGTCTCTCTAAGGAGCTTTAAAACTTAAGATGCTGCAAACGGCTGTTATTGGTTTGGCAGCTGTGAGCAGAACCCACCAGAACGCATGGGAGCATATTTTTGCTGACGAGTTGTACTGATCAGTCCAGTGCTGCTTGGCGTCTTCTGACAACACCTGGAGGGGGAAAAAAAAGAGCTAATTATCCCTGAAACTTCCAGTCGGCTGACGAGCTGAGGTCAAAGACGGGCGTGGGACCTTTTTGAACTTCTTCTTGATGTCGGTGTAGGTCTCCAGCTTGACCTGCCGGCCGGTGTTGGGCCGGTACACCAGGAACAGCCTCTTCTTGGTGTTCACCTCTTTGACCAGTATGGCTGTTTTCTTGTTGTTTCTCATCTGAAACAAAAACAAAAAAAGGGGTTAATCATCCTGTTGGAATCTGTCCTGCTCGTTCAAACATAGCAAAGGCTCTTTTTTCTGTTACAAGAGAAGGTTCTCTTACAGATATTGGGCCCCAAACTAAGAAGGAAGAAGTTATAAAACTGGATTGTTAAACGTCTGAGTCGTCTGATTGTTGAGCCTCAGCTCGCTAACGTTCCAGCTTTAAGCCAATTTATACGATGACTGCATCTTAATCTGTTTTAAGTAATATTTTCAGCTCCAAAACACAGAAACATTTAAAGAAAAACAGTCTCTGCTGCTTTAGAATGAACCCAGCTAATTTTTAACCTGATGCAAAATCAAGATGTCATGTTTTAACTGGCTGATCTTTTTTAACTTTGGCAAATAAAGTGGCCTCCTGGTTCTGTCGCACACCTGCACGTAAAAGCCGTCGTCAGGTCCGTTCTGGTCGGCCCAGGCGTGTGTGGCCTCCTCCCAGGACATCCCCCTCTCCACGCTGACCTGAGGCAGGGACACACACAGTCAGCCGGCGGAGATCTGAGCTGGTCTGAGCTGGTCTGAGGGCGGTGGGTGGACTTACGGTGTGGAGCTCCACGTGTCCCGATGCGGTGTAACCCGGCGTTAGGAATTTCCTGCAGTCCACATTCTTCACCTTCTCATCTCCAGAGCCCAGGTCTGAAAGGAGAGGCACTTTAAAAACACACCTGATGCGTTTGAGGGGCAAGCGTGGCGCGGCTGAGCTTTGCCGGGCGTACCCAGAATTCCCATGTCGTATCGGCCGTTCTTCTTGGCTTCCTGGATCACCGCCGCCAGCGTGTCGGAAAAGTACTGGAACAGAGCGTTCTGCTGCTGGACCTCCATGCCGAGAATTCGGTTCAGGAACTTCCCCATGTTGTTGTAGTCTGTCACCATAACAGAAACCCTCAATGTAGCAGATGTTTGTGTGCAGAAAATCATGCATCCAGTCAGACTTGATTCCATCTTTACGTCACCTTTGTCCAGAGACAGCATTCCAGACCTGTCCTCCACATTTATGAGGCCCACACCTATCAAGCCACTCTGAATCTCTACAGAAGAAAAAAAAAAAAAGGCATGGTTCAGAGTCACCGATAAAGCTTGATTACACACGGCAGAAAAAACAAAGCGAAATGTTGCTCGGCTCCTGTCTGGGCTTGGTGAAGGACGTGAGTCATACCTTTGAAGAAATCCCCTTTAAAGTCAGAGGGCGGAGAAACTAAGGGAGAATCCAGCTTCACGATGGACTTCATCACTATTTCCAGAGCATTTCTGCCGTACTGCGGCACACAAACACGAGTGAGTCACCAGCAAACCAACATCAGGGCGTTCTGACGCCGACGCTTCATTTACGTACTTTGTTGTCAAAATTAAACCTGCTGAGATCTCGCGTCTCCGTGGCTCTTCTGTCACCGTGAGTCAGCGCCCCCTGTCACAGAGGACGGGCAGCGTTTAGAGGAGAGCTTCTTTGAAACACCACAATGAAACGAAACAAAGAATCAGAAACACCAACCAGGCTCTCGAGTCTTTTGGCGACGATGGATGCAAATCTCTGCTCTCCTGCCAGCTCTGATATGAGGAAGACGTATTCTGGAGCTGTGACCTGGTTGGATCGATGCGTTCTCCCTGCAGCAGAACAGCGACTTCAGCCGGATCGGCGCAGAGGAGCCAGTTTAACAAAATCAAATTCTGGGCCGAGTTCAGGGGCTACTGACCGAACTGCTGGATGGCTCTGTCGGCGCTCCACGGCAGCTCCAGCGTCATGTGGACCCTCCGTCGCTGGTTCTTCACTCTCCGGTCGGCCTGCAGGGAAATCCCCGAGCTGGCGGCCTCCGAGATGATGGCTATGTTCTGGTTGAAGAGAAAGATGGCCATTCATCGCTCAGTCCATAAACCATCTCACTGCGAGCTTCGTTTCTGCTCCCGTTAATCAAACTGGACTTCTTGGTTGAGGATTTCCGGCCAACTTCAAAAGCTGAAACAGGCCTTTTACGTTTTGGAATGAAAACCATGTCAAGTTTCAATGTTCTTACCTTCTCTCCATCCATGAATCTCTGCTTTTCTGTGAGATTGAGGATTTCCACAGGGACGTCCAGCTCAGAGCGAGACTCGTAGGTGATGCTGCCGTCGTCGTTACTGACCACACGGCCTTTGCGGCCGGTCATCTGGAGCAGAACGGTTCAGATGCAGATCATTTCCAACCCAGAAACATTAGCAAAAAAAAAAGGTCCCGTGAGGCTAATTCTGTTACCTCTGCGACATTTTCCGGCCCTCCCAGTTCATCTATGAGCTCATCCAGAGTGTTGGGGGGCAGATACTCTGCCAGCTGCTCCAGGCGTTCCAGTAGCTCTTTCTTCATTTTCTGGGCGAGTTCGACGGAGTCCTGGCTCGTCTGGCAGCTGTCCTGACTTTCTGCCTTCGCCGCTAAACACAAACCAGGGATTTCAGTAACCCTGATGTTAAACGAGGACATTGAACCCGGCCGGGTCGAGTTGCCACACGCTCACCTGCAGCCGGTGTGTGGGTGGGGTTGACGGGGGCGGTGAAAGCGGGCCTGGTGGAGCCCAGCCCCGAGGCCAACAAGGCACTTTGAATGGAGTCTGGGTCGATGCTCTTCCTCCTCTTCTTCTTCTTCTTTTTCTCTTTCCCTCTCTTTGGCTCCTTCCTGATGAGCCATGGATCTGAGAGGAGAACAAAAGCTCACCGTGTGCCCCGACTTTCTTCAAGTTTTAAACGTCTGGTTGCGGTGAAGCTCACCATCTTCGTCGTCGTCATCAGACTCGTCTCTGAACGGATTGAAGTCGTCGTCTTCGTCCGCTGAGCTGACGGACTTGAAGCTGTCGTCGCTGTCTTTTCCCGACTCTTTGTCCGACTCCTCAGACCCGCTCTCCTCTGAACTGGTACCCGACAAGCCGCCGTGCGTTCGGGGCTTCTTTTTCTGCTGCTGCTTTTTTACTTCTGACCCTGGATGACACATCAGATGATTAAAGGAACGCCTCACAGAGTGGATTTCCAAAGCGTAGAGATTTCTGTCTTACCTTTCCTCTTCTTTCCCTTCTGTTCGGGCTCGGTGACGCCGTCGCTCGGGGAGGGCGTTTTCTTTGTCGGCATATCGATACCCAGCAGGCTGTAAAGCTTCTGCCTGTCTGGAGCGGGAAAGTGCTTCTCAACCAGGGACTGCAGCACACCTCTGCAATAAAACACACGTTGTTACAGACGTGGTGTTTAATTGAGCGAATAAAGGCGTTTTTATCTGATTCTTACTTCGCAGTTGACACAAAGTCATTGAGTTCTCCGCCCCCTTCCTCCAAGGCCTCCAGCGTTCTTGCTTCACCGGTGGACTGAAGGCCGATCACCACACACTGCACAGGAAACAGACGGTCGGTAACCATCACACAGCAAGCGTTTTCACTGATTCGGCCAGGATTAGCTGGCACTCATCTGGTTGTTATTCACTCATTCATCATTTGTAAATATAAGCACAGAAAACAGGAAACATGAGAGCAGATTAGTGAAGCTCATTTTTTTTCAACTAAGTGACCACTTAGTTACTTCAGACTTGGTAGAAAGCGGTTTTTAGCCTGTGGATGAACCTTTTTATAAATGTATTACACATTTATTTAACTGTAAACATAGACATTTTATCTGTAAACACACTAAATAGGTTCAAAATTATCTGTTTGGCCTCCGTCAGGAGAGCCCATATCTGTCACTGGCTGAATACCTCCATCTGTCTGCGAGGCTGAAATAAATCCTAAATGCGGCAGTGAGCCGAACAAACTCTCTATTCAGGTCTGATTCTAGGACCCCACACCAGCTCCAAACCACAGATAGAGAGAAAACTGATTTTATTTAAACCTCACAGCCAAACAGACGGCAACATCTTCTTTTAGAGGGTGGTTCTCCTTCTCAGTTTGGCTATTTCATCACATGATCGCGTCACAATAGTTTAAAAAAAAGAAAAAGGAACAGCAGCTCGTAGCATTTGTCATGCAGAGAAAAAAAAAAGTGGCATTTCCTAAGGCAGCTCTGAGGGAAACTGACCACGTGTCAGGTGGACTGTGTGTGTGTGATGTGTGTGTGTGTGTGTGTGTGTGTGTGGTGTGGCGGGGTGGCTTAACCATACCCTGTCCTACCTTTCCATTCTGGACTTCCTCCCTTGCCAGCTGGACCACGCGGCGGACTTTGGAGGCAATGCAGAGATATTTAAAGAACCTCTGGTGGGCGGACCAGAACTGGCCCCACATGGACTTCTTCATGCGCTGCTCTGCTTCCATGAGGTTCGCAGCCTGCTGGAACTTCTCACGTGCGCTCACCCACTGGAAAAGAGGCGAGAGAAAACAACAGCAGTGAAACCAGCTGCTTCCTCCAGGCACAGATCTGAGGACGCCCCTCGGATGCTTACCAGCCTCACAGACTTGTTGTACATGTTGATGTATTTGTTGGTCAGGGGAACCTCCTCGATCTTGAACGTCACACCTGTAAAACTCAACTGCCTCGCGATGTACATGCCTCTGAGCTTCATATCCATAGCTACTATCTCCATGGCGCCAACGCCTCTGAAATGATTATTGTATTAAAAAAAAAATGTTTTAAAAACCTTTCAATAACATAATACAAGAAAAAAAAAAAGAAGAAAAAAAAGGGGGGGGGGGGTTACCTGCGCTCCACTGCTTGGATAAAATTCCCAAATTCTCTGAAGGGTGTTTTGTGGCCCCAAATTCCCAGCCGGTTCATATACGCCATGTTTCGGGGTTCGGAGGCACCTGGATGACACACAGTTTAAGGCTTAATTCACCCTTATTCCAGCGGCCATGAAGTAGCTGCCTCTACTGACCTGTGGCGCTTGCATACACAACACGCGCTTTGGGAAGTTTGTTCTGCAGCTCCAAAACTGCCAGCCCAGTTTTTGTGGGTTTGGAGGATCCAATGGGACACACATTTTTGGCTTTATGACACTCATCATAGACAATCTAAATGCATCTGGTTAAGGAAAGTCAGTTATATTTGTTTCGTCTTTTGAATCATTTCATTTTGGGGGCATCATCTGACAGAAACTGAGATTGTCCTTAAAAATACACAGAAAGGATACGACTCCATCAAAGTCCTCTCCACACCAGTGGAGGAGCTGCTGAAATCTGGTCTTGTACTTCCCCCCTGACTGGCTCTCTCCTATCAAGGACGAGTAGGTGGCGAAGATCACACCTTTCTTCACACTCCCGTTGTGTTTTGAGGAGATTTTGCCATATTTGAACTAGAAATATTGAAGTGGAAATCATTCTTTACAGCAATCTGCTCCGAACTGTCCTCATTCAGACACCATTTAAATTCCCTTACCTTGTTCAGTGAGTGAACCTGGATATTTTTTGCTCCGATATCTCTCAAATCCCTCTCAGCATCATACTTCAGATCATTTGAGACACTAAACCTGAGGAGCAGACAGAGGAAAGTCTTTTAGTTTGAATGTTGTCAAAGTTATTTCTAAACTATAAAGCCTTACCTACTTACCACAATGATCTCTTTCTGCCCAAAAGGTAATTCTCATAAATGATCCCTGCAATAGTTCGGCCTTTTCCCACACCAGCTCCGTCCCCGATCAGGTACGCAGCCCGGTCCCCGCTGGGGAGGAATGTTTCATGTTGCTATGGGAAATTAAGAAAGAAATAAACATCAGAAATTCATTTTGGCACCTGAAATTTCAGACAAACATTGAGGTAATCATGGACAAATAAGTAAGAGAACTGTAAACTATCTGATGGCATGGCCTCTTCCCACCTGAGCTGCATATGTGATGGCTTCCAGCTGCAGCGCAGATAAGCAGCCCCGATCGATGATTTCCTCCGGGATGGTCAGTCTGTACCACACGTCTGGAGGATTCACACTGGACAGAGAGCTGGTCTCCACCACTGGATCTGGATGTCTCAGGCCGATCCTCACTACAGGGACACACTCATCCAATCAGTGGATCCGTCCACAAATAAAGTTCACTTTGATTTGGAGCATGAACTCACTATTCTGACAATTTCCATTCAGTCTGACCGCCTCACACCATCAGTTAGTCTCAGTTTCAGATGAACATGTTTAAACCATAATAATCTAAACCTTTATATGACTTCATTTAAATTGTTCTGCCATCAAGACTTTGGTTTATTAAAACCAACCAAACACATCAGATCTCCATCAACACAACAGTCACACTCACATTTCATCGGCATGTATTCCGCATATGTCTCTGTATGACCCAGCTCATCTTCCTCTTCCTCCTCAGGCTCGTCATCCTCAGTCAGCCCAGGTGGTTTCTGAACACATTTGAAGACAAGTTCGTACAAAGTCAGATTTCTAAAAGAAAAACAAAGTGCAAAATACACCAGGAGAACCAATCAACTCTTAAATAAGTCAAACTAACCAAAGAGTGTGAGAAGTTTTGCATTTTCAGGTCATCCTTAATCCAGATCCTGGTGGTGTCTTTACCCATCACCTCCTTCTTGATTCCATTGTTTATTTCACCTGAAAGACAAAAAGCTTTCGTTCATAAGCCAGTCAATCACAGATTCAAACCTTATTACACCTTTATGAAAGGAAAATACTTTAATTTAATATTTTTTGTGAGCGGTAGCAGGGCCATCAGGCTGATGCAGTTTCACTGCTCAGATTCCTATAAACTGTTATTAACGCAGTTATGCAGGTTTTAAGTTTAAATAGCAAAAAAAAAAGAGAAATTATGTAGAAAACTTGAAGCATTCCCCATCCGTCAGCTCGGTACCTGGGCCGGTGGCTGCGGCAGTCGCCACAGGTGGAGCAATGTCTGGTGGGGGCTTTAACTTCATGAGCTCCATCAGGCTGTTGCCCTTCAGGACTGTGCTCTTCACACCGCCCGTCCGAAGAAGGTCTTTCAGCTGGATTTGCTTGGAGAACAATTTTTTTTGTCAAAATCACTTTAAAAAAAAAAATCATCTTGTGAGAACATGCAGAGGTGTCTATTTTAAACCTACACTAACACACACCTGATCTTTGTTAGAAGGCACTATCGTGGACACTGAAGGAGGAACACTTGTGGACGACGGCGTTGAGGAATCTCGCAGTGCTGAATTAGCCACGTGGACCACCTTGGTGACTGTTATGGTGTGTTTGATTGGGTTGGTAACCGACTGTTTGGTCACCGTCGTTCCGAGTGAGGGCAACTGATTGAGCTGGTTTAAGACAAATGTGGTGGTTGATGGCTGAGGTTTATGCTGTGAGGAAACGGTTAATAAAAATGTTAAAAGGACTAGCTAAATGAAATGATCTTAAAAAAAAAACGGATTTAAGGTTCTGATTCTCACCCTGATTGTAACAATGGGGACTGTAGTTTGAGGCTCAGGTCGAACAACCTCCACCGAGTCTGCTCCCACGCCCACATCCAGGGCACTGATGGAGATAGACTGGACAAAGAGCCACAGATCAAAGCGTTTAAAACAGGGGAAAACATTAAAAAAATACACATAAACGCATCTTACATTTAAAAAAAGAAAGACAAGAAAACTAATAATTGTCTCACTTGTTGGGCTGTAGATGGCTGTGTAACATCCTGAGAATCAACATCAAACAGACCCATATCATTTGGGCAAATTCCACTCTCACTTAGAGCAGCGAGGAGTAAATCCTGTCCAGGATCCATCTGCAAGAAAATTAAATGTAACATTATATACAGCGATGAGATTCTTTAACAACAAAAGCAATCACATAACCAGTCAACATATTCAGAGGTTGAAAGAGTCGTGGATGGACTGACTTTCAGTAAGTAACATCCTTTCAAGCCTTAGTTTCATAAGAAATATGACTTTCAAAGGATTTCGTTAAGTTTCTGATCTGCAGTACAGAATGAAAAACAAGGATTTAAAAACACTGACCAAGAACAAGGACACTCGGTTTTAAATGTCTGTTTGTGAAATTTTAACCAGACTAAGGACCAGACGAAAGATGTTAAAGCTCTCCGTTTAGTTACATGCAAGCAGAGTTTTCCCATCAAATATTGTCAGAGGAAGCAAGCCATGCCAGAGGGGCTATGTGTGCAACCTGTTAAAAAAAACTAACTCAAAAACAAAAGGGGTTATCTTTACTAATCCATTTAAGAAGCCAACCTCCAAAGATATATAGCCACAACTTATAACAGAAAGCAATTGCATCAGTGCCAGTAAACAGAAGATATAAATTATCCACATGTGTAACACGTGTGATATGAAACAACTTTTTTTATTTATTTTTTTAAACTACGACCAGACAGGTTTCAAACCCTGAAAAAGGGCATTCACGGACAAAAACCCAATAATACGATACGGATTTTTTGTTGTTAAAGTGAATATAGCTTAGGGTGCATTAGCGAAAACAGCAGAGATCTAGTGAAAGCTAAACTTAGCGTTACACTGAACACCGACAAAAGAGAAAATGAAAGCTTAAAATGTCAAAAAGTGACTCGACAGCTTGTACAAACGTTTGTGCAATAGACGGTATCCCTCTATCACTTCAACATTTAACCCACATACAGATCCAAGACCTGCTTTCAAAGTGACCCAAAACAAGACACGTGTTTGCAATGCCCTGCCTTCAACTTCCTGCTCTCTCTGACTCAACCTAGCTAGCTCTCCGCTTCTGGTTAGAAGTTATATAATATTTAGTTAGATAGCGCACATCGCGTGAGGTTGAGCCAAAAAATCTTACCCGAAGATGCAGTTTAGTACGCACTAGTTAACCTTTGTCTTTGGCGGTGTCGCACAGGCTAAAGTGGCCTGGGTGGACCAGGGTGACACAGCTAAGCAGTGCTACCACGCTCACCACGGGCACTCCACTGGTCACTGCTCTGACAGTCATAAAATAAGTAAAATATCTGTATGTTAGCAGCAGCATAACACGACAGAAATACACTACAGAGCCTCCATGACTCAATGTTATTGACTGTATCCACAAAATGTGCTCCAGGAGTCAGACCCTTTAATCCTAATGTGGACGTCTCCCTATATGATCAGTTATTGACAAACATGTGCCAGTTCCCACCCAAAGCTGCACTTTAGGTTTTAAAGAAAAATGTGTAAAAACAAACCCGTATCAGAGTTTACATGTAGCTCAGAAAATCGGCGCTGCTGGAAGTTGATAACGAGTTGTTGATAAATGACGTTAGCAAAATTATTCGGCAGTCACAACAGTTGGAAAATAATAAGCAAACAACAAGAATTACCTCAATAAATTACAGGCAGAGCACTTTCCAGACTGCTTCACCGCGGCCGTTATCGGCTGGATCAACGAGCTAACGACCCCTGTTGTTGTAACGTTATTAACGGTTTCTCACGCGCACTGCCGTTTACGTTGCTAGCTAACGTTAGCAACCAGGAGCAGACGAGTTGGGCAGCCTTAAAACCTGCTACTTGTAATTTATCCTTAAAACGCAACAACGCCACGGCGACTGGGAGCTCTAAGCGACCGAAAGATTACCCTGAAACCGAACAACCCAATTCCCGCGGCGTGACCAACTTACTTGGTGACAGGACGGCCGCTGCAGCTAGCAGTCGGCGGTACTCTGCGGTTCGGGGCTTGTTGTCCTCTCGGCTCCTCCGCGCTCACGCCATCTTTTTTATCAAACGCTCCGCCGCATGCTGGTCACGTGACGCGTTGGCCGACAGTGGCCGTTTTCGCACTCAAACTCCTCGAATAGCGTCCCTGAAAGCGGGTCTTTGAGCGGCTACAGGGCGTCCCTCGACGACAGTAAACCGATAAAGGCGAGAGATTAAGCATTTCTATAACATTGGCACAAACGATAAACATAGCAGAGTCAGCGAGCTAATACCCCGTCACGTGACCCCAGCAAGTCTAATAGGAAGTGACGACAGAGCAAATCTTCTTCTTCGCTCTCCGTAATTTTTTTTCCTTTCCTTTGAGCTTTAACAACAATTATATTAGTTTTACTTAAGTTAGCATTTAATAGTTCATTTGTGGATTTATTGCTGGATATAATTGTCATCTCCACGTTTTTCTCTTATATACACATATCCATTAAAACAATACATCACTCAAATTAAAATCCTTTCTATTCTAATTTTGATGCTACTTTTGCACAGTGCAAAGAAGGAGTACAGTCAAATTAAATTTAAAAGCAAGGACTTAAACTATCAGGGCTAAAAGTTCAGATTGTAATCCAATTGGAATTTAGAAATCAGACAGGAGTATTGACGTTTGAATGGGTAAATGATCTCCTTTACCAAACAGTCTAGGACAGAGGCAGGAACTATCTTGTCTACAGAGAACAAAAACTCATTATGTATGACTGCTCATCTCAGTTTTCTGTTTGAACCTTCATAATGTCCTGGTTAACTCTTAACTTCTGGTGACCAATAAGAGGAACGCCCTTTGAAGACAATGCAAGGTCCTGAGCAAATTTTACTGAACAGTGACATAAACGACAACTCAAAACACTGTACATTCAACAGGTTTTGCTATGACCTTGCATTGGGCCAGGTACTTGTGATTTTGCCCAGTCATATGCTTTTATTGGATTAAACAAAGTTTGGACAGAGAATATAATTACATACATTGATAAAGATCTTTATTGATCCCTACCTGGAAAAAGTCACTTTTATAGCAACAGGTAAACAATAAGTAATAAAAAAAAGTAATGTAATGTATGGCATAATAGAAATTCTTTTTCTCTGATAAGGTTATTATCAGAGACACATACATGGAAAACCACTGACTGGGAAGTGTCAACGTTACTTTATTCAACAGTTAAAAATGAATGAATAAATTCATTTGAAATAAATCCACAGCAATAATAAATAAGTTTATTTATATATATACATGCAAACATAAAAGTGTAACACAAACATCAAAGTTTACAGCATATCAAGGTTGTTTATGAAAGTACAAAGTTTTTTAGCAGGTTTACTTACTTAACTTTCCTTTACTTAATCAAATTTGACATATACTTTGATTACCTTTGAATATCCTGCTTTTGTGAACAAAACTATTTCCCAGTCAAATGTGATTATTTATCAAGAGTTCTGTTTTTGACTGAATCCTCGGTAGGTGTAATGCTCCCCGCCGCCGGCAGGGGGCGCCAACAGCCCGAGTCCTCATTCATTTCCACACGGAGAGAAAGATGGCGGAGCGGAGCCGGAGCGGCTGAGCTGCGGGCGCCTCGAGCAGAGCAAAAGCGCACGGAGTCACCGTGGGAGGGTGGCGTCGTGTCGGGAGGAAGGAGGCCCCTCTGGTTAACCTCTGACCAGGTCTGTGTTGGGTTTTATCCACCGAACGAGGCGATAAAAGCAGCGGGGAGCACCGAGAAGAAACCATGAGCGGGGTGAGTTTCCTCGTCAGCCTTTAGCAAAACAAAGCAGACCGAGGAGCAATAACGTCGCATTCAAGCATAAATCAGCCTCGCTTTTGTCTGAGAACACGTGTAAGATAAAATATTTCCGTTTTTGTATTTTTTAAAAATATTTTAACGGTCATTTTTGTGTAGTTTCTGGAGCGAAAGACGCTTGTTTTTTTTGTTTTTTTAAATGACCATTAAAGGGTCCATTAGATTGTTATTCAGAAGGCCTGACAGTGGATTTAAAGGGACTGACTGATGTGCCAGTGGGTGTGGATCCAGCATGGGACCGGGCCCCACCCACCCACAAAGCTCACCCAACTAAAGACCACTGGAAAAATGATTGAATTATGTGTAAGATTAAATGTGCCCGAAAAAAAGAAGAGATTGTACAGTTCTAAGGAGTTTGAGCTTGCTTTAGGGTGCTTTGTTCAATACTGCCTGGATGCTCTTAGACATGTTTTATGTTCTGTCCTAAGTTTTTTCTGGCATCATGAAGCACGATTTCTGTGCAGTATTTCACTTTTACTTTGTGTGCAAGAAAATAGTAAATGGGCACAGAGACAAATATGAATGTGGATGTTGGTTAAAAGGCAAAAACTGAGTTTGTTAAAGTCTAACTCTTACAGTTTTTGCCTGTCAGACAAACTGTGTTATCTTTTCAAAAAGCAACTAGAGAAATTAGAATAAATGCCAGGCTGCTGGAGAAAAAACTGTCTGCTTTGTGTAAACACAACACTGACTCATCCCTTGAGTTACGGGCCTTTTTTCTGCCTCAACCGTTCATAGGTGAGGAAATACAGAGCCCAAATCATCACAGTAACTTGATTATTTTCATTTCAGAGAACACGAAGTAGAGATTTTGTAGTCCTGGATCATAACTTGATTATTCTTGTGCCCTGAAAATGAAAGGAGGACCCTTCCGGCACCATAAAACTGGAAACCAGGCCAATGATTGAGTCAGGAAACACAAACATTTACATTTAGAGCGACCTTAACTAAAGCATGTGGCATTCATTACGACGGATTTAGATTTGAATGTGGGCGTGCGGCAGTCTCCCCTTAAGGCACAAACCCATCACATTACTCAGGCGTGTTTGCAGAACAGCTGCCTGTCTTCAGACCCACCTCCGGCTCATTTACCGCCATGTTTGTATTTTCGCCATTCGGCACAGAAACAAACGCCGGAGCCTTTAAAATTCCCCTTTTGAAGAACGACATCATTGGGATGTTACAAGCATCTTCCAGATGAGAAACAGATGCCTTTTCAAGGCCACGTTTAAAAGAAAAAAGAGAATTCCCCTTAATTCTGCTCAGAAAGGACCCATCTGGATGCTGTGCTCAGTAGGCTTGTCCCGATCCGATATCTGGATCAAATCGGCTGACGATATCGGCCAGCAGGAGAAAATGCAGATCCAGACTTCCGATCCAGTTTTTTTTAAAGGTCTGATCCCACATGAGTATTAGCATCCCTAACCCACAGGTCTGTGTCCTAACCATTAAGTTGTTATCAGAGTAAATCCCTGTTCAACATGAGTCTGACAACTAAGTAAGTAGATAAAAACTTTAAACTTTAACACATGCTGATAGGCCGGGATCGGTATCTGTATCGGAAATGCAAAAAGCTGGATGGGGACATATCCCTGGTTCCCTGATGTGGGGGGGGGTCTCACCGGCTCTCTGCTTTCACAGGAAATGGTGTGCGGCGCTCATTCGGTGGCCGTGTTGAGCTGCTCCAGATCAGCCGTTCTCGATGAGAAGTCGGCGGTCCGTTTGGCTCAGGAGGGCGGCCGCCCCCCGGTTTCCGACCCGGTTTGGACCGAGCCGCCGCCGCCGAAGCTCCACTGCCTCCGCGGCCCCGCCGAGCTCCCCCTGTCGCTAGGCAACGGCCTGAGCCACGCTCCGCTCCACGCCAAGAACGGCGGCGGCCTCCTCAGCCACCAGCGCAGAGCCGCCCGCTCCGGAGCCAACGGGAAGAAGTCCTCCCGCCGAACGTACGCTCGCCCTGAGTTCTGCCGTTTATGCCAGATCTGCTGTTCTGCATCTGAGTTTTGTAGAAACACTTAACTCATTGGCTGCCAAAGACGTCTATAGACGTCAATTCAAATACAACCGTTGACTGGCAAAGACGTCTATAGACGTCTTTCATGTTTTTCAACGAGAGTGGCTTGGGGGACGATCTGCTAAAGCTTGTCCGTAAATATCAGGCTTCTAGAAAGAGTATGTACTTATAAATTGACCCTCTAGGTGGCAGTGCCACTTTTGATGGGAGATGAGCATAGACTGTAGGCAAATAAGAAAAAGGGAACGGTTCGCAATGAGAGAACATGTCGCCGGTGAGACGCAAGTCGAGGAAGAACGGAATAAGGTAGAAACAAAAAAATTTTCCTGATGAAAGAAAAGAGTCTACTCTTTCTTTTGGTGTGTTCGGTGTTTACATAGTCATAGACAGGGATTTTAGATTCTACCTTTGTTTAAGTAACCGTAAAATCTAAAGGCGGAAACTAATCTTTGGGTTTGGCTCCACTTATAAAAGTTAGAAACTGGTCTGATTTTCCCTTTTTGTTCCATCTGTAACGCAATCAAAAACTGTGAATTCACACCCTTGAAAAGCAGACTATAGCATTTATATCCTCATTGGATGCTGCTAAAGCTGCTAACGATCAATCGTCAGATTGAATCCCCCCCCCCCCTTTAATCACCTCACCTCCGTGATTGAATCACGTTGGAGTATTTCAGAGCCACGCTCAGCGACTCAGGCCCAGACGCCACCATAATGCTGTACTTATCCTACCTCTGATCAGATTTAAAAAGTCCGTATTTCTGGATAACGTGACACAGTTGTAACGTTTCCCTTCTTCTTTTTCCCCACCGCAGGGCAGCAGGAAAGAACTCCCAGAACCGAAAAGTCACCGACTTCTTCCCAATTCGACGGAGCTCCAGGAAGAGCAAAACGGAGCTGAAGGTACTGTGTCCCGACCCGAACGGTTCCCTGACCCCTGACCCCCGACCCGGGGTCACCTGGAGACTGTTTCCGTTGGCAACAACATGTCCCGTCTGTTTTTTTGTCTCCAGTGCGAACAGAAGAAGCTCATAGACGACCTCATCACGAACGGAATAGAGGAAGGAATGGAGGTAGGCTCCGGTTTAACAGAGATACCAGCTTAGTATGTTTAGGCCAACATGGGAAGTCCAAACATTCCCTTTTTGGTCCTCAGGAAATAGTCAAATTGTGTCTAAGAAGTCTAAAAATGCTCACAGACGGTCAACTCTATTTAAATGTGCTGTAAAGTGAATGATAAGTCTGTAAATTGCACGTTTAAACGTTTTTTTAAAAGACTTTCCACATACAATCCTTCATGTCAGGTCCTTTTGCCATTTTAAAGACCAAATGTCCTGCTTTTCACTCATTTATATTCCTGTTTGTACACTTCTGGCTGTTCCTTGTGGTGGATTAGAGACACCTTTTAGACTGTGAGTGTAAAGAAATGAGCTTCCACTAGATGGTGGGGTTGTTCTGAGTCCCATCTGGGCCTAATGGATCCAATCTAAGGGCAGAAAAGCAAAACAGCTTATAGAGAGTCATCCTATCAGCCACCAGCAACTTTTAAATGATTAAAATGGACTTTTTGAAAGAGCTTCTCTTAGTATTAGTCCTTTTTAAAGGCTAAACACCAGCAGAATTGGTCTCTACTGTTGCTGATAAAGGCCCAGGAACCTTTTCATGCTGGTTTCTCAGACTGGTCTGGTTCTTCTGAGCTGTTTCTCCGTGTTTGGTGAGAGTGGCCTCCTGTGGGCAGGTGCAGCACATGGAGGGGAAGGGCCGGGCGGTGTTTGCCACCCGCTGCTTCCAGAAGGGCGACTACGTGGTGGAGTACCACGGAGACCTGCTGCAGATCACCGACGCCAAGAAGAGGGAGGCCGAGTACTCCCAGAACCCGGCCACCGGCTGCTACATGTACTACTTCCAGTACCTCTGCAAAACCTACTGGTAGGTGCCTCTGTCAGCTCGCAGCATCAACCACTTTAACTAAAAAAAACCATAAAGACGACGGACCGGATGAGGACTCGCACTCCATTTAGAGACTTCAATCAGTTTAGTGGCCGCTCCTGAATCTTGTATGTAGTTTTAAACATTTTAAATTCAATTAAATCACATTTCATTGCTTTTTCTTGGAGTTTTAAGTATTAATCCTGCTTTAAAATGTCTTTAAAAAGATGAGGTTTGGTTAAACACATTTCCATGTGGTTGTTTTTAAAATAACCACAGCTAATAAAACTACAAAAACAGATCAAATCTGTTAAATGTTTAAAGAATTTGTCACATTTTAGTGCATATTCTGAACCTGGGACTTATAATTCCCTCTAAATGGAGGTAAAGCAGTTTGCACACGTTAGAAACTCCTCATGTTGTGTCCCCCTTTGTTTCTGGTCACTGCGGATGAACGAGAGCAATGAAAATCCAAAAGTTTGTGGCTTTAATTCGACCCTTCAAGCCTTTGCTGGGATCACACCCAAGAAGTCTTGAAACGGGCGGAAAACAAAGCCTTAATTAGTCGTTTAAAACACTTTAACTGATGTTTGGAAAGTGGAAAAATTCAAAGAAAACAGAGGAGTTTGATGTTTTTTTTTACCGGACAGAGTCTGGCTGATTTAATCTCTAAAGCTGCCCGTTTTCTGTCTCTGCTCGCCGTTTCCCAGCGTGGACGCCACCCGGGAGTCTGGCCGCATGGGCCGGCTCATCAACCACAGCAAGAGCGGGAACTGCCAAACCAAACTGCACGACATCGAGGGCGTGCCCCACCTCATCCTGGTGGCGTCCCGGGACATCCAGCGCGGCGAGGAGCTGCTCTACGACTACGGCGACCGCAGCAAGGCGTCCATCGCCGCCCACCCGTGGCTCAAGCACTGACCGCCGGGATCCTGACCGCTACTAAAATGCCTTAGAAACCGAATGTCTGCCCCTCTCTCGTTTTGGCCCAGGTCCCGGAGGAGTCCCGTCCTTTCAGCTTGTTTTTGTTTTTGTATGTTTTGTAGGCAGACGGACGCAGGAGGTAGTAAAACGCTCTGCATCTTTTATACCGCTTTTTAAAAAAAAAAACAAAGGAAAAAAGAAAAAGGAAAACAGGAGATGTTAGACCCCTAGCAATACGGAGCCGGCGGTTTTAAGGAAGGCTGGACAGAGGACGGTCGGAAGGCGAACCTTCAAACTCAAAAGGTCACACCAGTGAAATGAAATGACTTGTACAAAATATATTTTTGTTTTGTTTTTTTATTAGGATATGATGTATTTTTTAATATCGTGGAGGAAACGGACGGCCGTATTCTGGCGCCGTTCCCCCAGAACGTCCGGCTGTTTCTGCTCCAGTTGCGTGTGAAGATTTGTTTGGTTGAACATCTGCAGATCTTTGGCTTTGACCATTTTTCATAACTCCACTTTTCTCCCCCTGTCCGACGTGCTTCTTTACCTCTGCTTCACTGTGTCGTAGCCTCAGAAACTCAGTGGTACCTCAGCAAACAAGATGAGACGGGAAGTCTTTGGTGTAAAAAAAAACTCTCTCTTTGATCTATTAAATCAAGAAAGTGGAAACGGCATCTTAATGTGAGCCGCCTTTTGTATTTAAACATTTATTAGTTTTCGAAGAGTCAGAGGTTTTTCTGATGTTACCGGCATTTAATTCATTGCTGAATTTATGTAAAAAAAAAAAAAAGATAATTTATTCACAAAAAACCTCCTATTTAACCTCCTCCCTTAGATATTTTTCCTGTTAAAGAAAAATATTTGGTTTTCATATAAGGTGCTATTCAAACATAAGTGTATTATATAAAAAATGAGGAGGGAAACGAGCTGCCTACAGGGTCTAAAGCAGGGAGCTCAAACCGCCCTGCAGGTCTGAGATGTTTCCCTGCTCCAATACCATGAAAAACCATGAGCTTTTAGCTGTTGATTGTGATTACCGAAGAAAGAAAAAGCTTAATTATAAAGCCCGTTCTTTGGTTTTATTTACTTTTCATACAGAGGATCTACTTCAGCCAATAACTCAGCTATTTAATACAATAGAAACAAAAACGTGATCACGAACAGTTGAAATCCAGGAGATAGCTATCATCTGGCTAGTTAGCGTTAAAGACTCACTTTGCCTTAAATACATTTATTAAGTACAATAAAATACAAAGGAACTTCTTCAAACAATGACTCAACAATTTAACAATACTTAATGAAACATGAATTCTGAAATCTTTGATAATCATCATAAATTATCTTATTTAGCCAGTTAGCTTACAGAGCTAGTTAGCTTAAGCACTTTTAGTTTAACCTAACTTTGCTGTAGTTGCAATGTTTGATTAAATAATACAATGAATTCAGTTGAATAAGTCCACTTTGACATAAATTTACAGGAAAATAGGCAGAGAGACTATCTAAGCTAAACTTTTTAGCAGATCCCCAGTTCAGATCAGCATATTTGATCATCTTTGCCCGACTCTTTAGTTGGAAGCATGAGAATAAACCAGAGAAATGATTAGAACGCAACCAAGTCTCTTTTGACCAGTTCTTCCAGGTCAAATTAAATGGGGTTATACGAGTTTCTTAAAAGAATCTAAAGTGAACAAAACAATCAGTTGCATGAATTCACTGATAGAAAAAAGTGCAACTTTACAGTAAACTAATCCAAGCTAATTTGAGCATTTCCTGAGATACATTTAGGGGTTGAGTTTGTCTTGTTTTTCAACGGGATAAATCTATTTTATTGTGTTTGCTATGATTAAAGCTATAGTTAAAAATACATTTTCTTCCAAATTTGGACAGATTTGGAGTTAGCTGTGTGCTTCCAGATTTTATGCTAAGCTAACGATCACTTTCTGATTCACAGCAAAGAAACTGGAGTATTGTAATCCATCGGAGATTCTTACCCAAAACATTTATACATTTTTTGTGTGTATTATAAGGACTTTTTACACTAATTTGTCTTAGCTTTCGTTGAATGTTTTGCCAAGTGAAAAACTGGCTGTCGAACCAAATGTTTTACACCATGAATTTATTATTGAGTTGCTGTCTCTATGGAGTGGTTACAGTTCATTGAATATTTTCTAATTTGACTGAAATGTAAAAGAAACAAAAAAAGCTGTTGGTCAGATTTATGCAAGAAGGTGAATTTTTACGTCCTTCCAAACAAGCTCCCAGTAGCATCACATGTGTGAGATAGATGTTTTCCTATGAATTTTGCTTAACAAATGTATTATAACTTGGACTGTTACCACAATTCTTATATTTGTTTTTGTGGAGCAAATGCAATCAAAAACCGAGGGGAAAATGACCGACTGGCCCTCTGAGTTTAGTACACTGAACTGCTGGGGTTAAGGTATCGATGAATAAAAGCATAACATGGAAATAACTGGCCCTGGTGTCTGTTTTTTACTTTAATATTGAAAAAATATAAAGTCCTTGGTTCCCCTCGCTATTAGTCTCCATCGTCCAGAGAGAGGAGCTCC